GACTGCTATACTATTTATGTACTGTAGCATGTGCAGGAAATAACTTTACAGGTGGGGCAGTTGACTTGTACAGTTTCCTCGGAAACTGGTAGCTATCTGTTCCCTCTGTGGTTCCTATGACTCTGAAAAATTGAACTGTGTCCCCAACTGGAGACTTGTTGATCTTTAAGTTCTTGAGGATATGTATCAGGTTCCTTATCTGGTTCTTAATAGTAAGTTTGTTAGATCATCAAAACATAATAGGGATACACATATAACCTATCACTAACATACCGTATAGAAATAAAGAACTAAGATAGGAGGTACCCGACTAGTACTACTACTACTGGTGAGACAAGGAAAAATTCTAGACTGTCTATCAACCCATCACCCTAATTTTGACCTACACGCCTTTCTATCAAGGGTCATGTCCTTAGTAAGCTGGAGAAGAACCATGTCTTGCCTAATCACCTCACCCCAGTTCTTCTTAGGCCTCCCTCTACCCCTCCTCTGACTCGCCACGTGTAACCTCTCGCACCTCCTAACCGGGGCATCATCGTCTCTCCTCTTCACATGACCAAACCATCTCAGCCTCGATTCCCTTAACTTCTCTTCCATAGGAGCCACACCCACTTTATCCCTATTATATTCATTCTTAATCTTATCTTTCTCTGGTATGCCCACACATCCATCGCAACATCCTTATTTCTTCTACTTTCATCTATTGGGCATGAGATTTCTTGACTAGCTAACACTCGGCTCCATACAACATGGTCGGTTTAACTACGTTTTGTAGAACTTGCCCTTAAGTCTAGGTGGCACATTTCTGTCACACAAAACATCAGACGTAAGCCTCCATTTCAACCACCCTGCTCTTATATGGTGTGTGATATTCTCGTCAATCTCCCTGTTACTATGTATAATAGGACCAAGATATTTGAAACTATCTCTCTTGGGGATGACTTGGGTATCAAGCTTCACGTTCACTTCTGCTTCATGTATCCCAACACTAAACTTACACTCCAAGTATTTTGTTTTTGTCCTGCTAAAAATGAAGCCTTTAGACTCCAAGGTCTGTCGCCACACCTCCATCTTAGCATTAACCTCGCCATGCATCTCGTCAATAAGCACTATATCATCTGCAAATAACATACACTATGACACTTCCCCTTGGATGTTACGCGTCATCACATACATCGCTAGGGCAAATAAAAATGGGTTAAGAGCTGATCCCTGATGCAATCCCATCACCACTGAAAAATAATCTGAATCCCCTCCCACAGTCCTCACCCGAGTCTTAGCTACATCGTACATGTCCTTAATCACCCAAATAAAGGCTATCGGAACGTCGCTAACATCTAAACATCTCCATAGAACCTCCCTAGGGACTTTGTCGTAGGCTTTTTCTAATCCAATGAACACCATCTGTAAGTCTTTCTTCCTCTCTCTATACTTCTGCATCAACCTCCTCACAAGACGGATGTCTTCTATAATCGACCACCCCGGCATGAATCCGAACTGATTCTCTGAAATAGACATACTCCTTCTCACCCTCCTCTCCACTACCCTCTCCCAAATTTTTATGGTGTGACTCGGCAGCTTGATACCTCTATAGTTGGTGCAATTCTGGACATCACCCTTGTTCTTGTACAATGGGACCATCACACTCCACTTCCATTCTTTCGGCGTCCGCTTCGTCCTAAAAATGACATTAAACAATCCAGTAAGCCATTTCAAGCCTGCCCAGCCTGCATCCTTCCAGAATTCCACCGAAATCTCGTCTGGTCTGGTCGACCTACCCCGACTCATCCTCCACATAGCCTCCTCAACCTTCCCAATCTTAATATGCCTACAAAACCTGAAATCTCGCTAGCTTTCTGAGGTTTCCAACTCCCCAAGCACAATGCTCATGTCCCCATCCTAGTTTAGGAGTTTATGAAAGTATGTCTACCACATGTGCATAATACACGCCTCTTCCACCAACACCTTGCCTTCCTCGTCTTTGATGCACTTCACTTGGTCCAGGTCTAGAGCCTTTTTCTCCCTCGCATTGGCTAGCCTGAATAATTTTTTGTCACCACCTCTGCCTCCAAGTTCCTCATACAAGCACTCAAAGGCTGCAGTTTTAGCTAGCGTGACCGCTAACTTCGCCTCGTTCTTTACCTTCTTATAGTGCTCCAGTTCGTCCTATTCTTCTCCTCGTCGGCGATCTCCATTAGCTTCATAAATGCTGCTTTCTTGGCTGCCATTTTTCCTTCGACCTCTCCATTCTAGCGCCAGCCCTTTTGTGACCCTAGACACACTTGCTAGGAAGCCAATGAAAAACGCACTTTTTGATTTTTAAGTTCTCTATTTCTACTGGATTCTTTGTTTACACTCTGTCAATTAGTTTTCTAATTCTGTTTCTGATTTTTTTTTTTTGTCTTTTTTCTGGTATTGCTAATTGTTGTTATCTGTACTGTTGTAAAAAAAACTCTTCTAGTTTAAAGCTGTGGAAGTGTGCCTGACAATCTAAAAATTCACACACTTCAATATGCTCTTGGAGCAGACAGTAAAAATTGCACCGGGCGCCCTATTTGGTCGCCCCCATTTAACCTATACTCATTTTTTTAAAAATTTTTTAATTTGTACCCACTTTTTAAACAACTTCAGCCCCTTTTCTTCTCCTCCTTCGTTTTCTTTCGTTTTCTTCTTGCAAACAACCACAAACGTTCACAAACTGTCTGGTAGTTACGTGAATTGACCAAAGGCAAAGGACCTGATCATTTGACTTTATTATTTCCTTTCGAAACATACTTTTCAACTGCTTTTGATGCTTTGTAATACTTTAATAAGTGGATAATTTTGTTAAAAAAATAATATAGTGATAATACGAATAATAATTTCATATATAACAGATATGTCTTGTATGCAACATCAATTTTAATAAGGCAAGCAAGCATTATCGTTCAATTTGCAAAGGGTTGCTTCCTATGTGTTGCTGCATTTTATCAAGTTTGATAGAGAAGGAATATTTAAGGATACCCAAATTGGAACTCTCAGAAACTTCAGCTCTAGAGCTGAGGTTTCCCAGTTACAACACAAAAACTTCAACTCTAGAGATGAAGTTTTTGTTTGTAACTGGCGAGTTTTTATTTGTAACTGGGGCTGAAGTTTTTGTTTTTGTAACTGGGGAACTTCAGCTCTAGAGCTGAAGTTTTTGTTTTATAACTGGGGAACTTCAGCTCTAGAGCTAAAGTTTTTGTTTGTAACTGGGTTTTTGTTTGTAACTGACGAACTTCAGCCTTTTTAGATTTGAACTTCAGCCTGTAGATCAAGATTCAGTGGCTAGAACTTAGTTTATGTGATAGTAACAGGAAAAGTTGCAGATTGTTTTCCAGAAAATGCAATATGTTTTGTTGGATAGTAACATGAAATATATTATACTTTATTCAATTAAATCCTTTATCCATTGCTTGGAGTGTTTGGTTGGGTCTGTATCTGAAATTTTCTGGAGCAAGCCATACCGAATATTGCATCTAAGTAACTGTTATTGTATAAATGACCGCCAAAACTGCTAAATAAAGAGCAGAGGGAAATTATCAAATATTTGTTGTATGAAGATTAATCCTCGACATTGCAGATTCTGAATAAAAAGATTTACTTGTGATAAATAGTCCAAGAAACTTCAGCTCTAGAGCTGAAGTTTCCAAGTTACAACACAAAAACTTCAGCTCTAGAGCTGAACTTCAGGCCCGGCTACTAGAATGCTGAAGTTTTGGGTGATTGCCTTTGCTACTTCAGCCCTGTATGCTGAAGTTATGCGAAAAAGCGAGTACGCTTGCAATTTTTTTTGCAAAGCGGGCATAAGTTAAAATGTGACACAAAAAACGGATATAGATGCAATCATCCCGAGCAGACAGAGATTTTGAGTTTGAGCCCGGTGTCACATTATATAGACAAACAATATCACGTGCTTACCTCATGGAAAAAAACCAACATGTGAGGGAAAAGTTTAAAGACATAAATAAGATAAATGAGAAATAAATGCATGTTTTGATACCATGCTATATGAAAGAATCAATGGAATTATGGAAATATACAAGGGCAGAATTAACAACTGCTCATCCTAAAAGGTTAACTACGAAAAGGGACTTAAATAAAGATTCGCAAAACAGGAGATTCGTGACCGACCAATTGACATACAAGAATGGCACAGGGATCTTTGCCTGTATGTCTAAGTATCCTTTTTTAAATTTGATTTTTGTGCTTTCGAATTGTTTTTGTTTCCAAACTGATAGATATTCTGTTGTATCAGATATTCCTATTGTTCTGTGCGGAAACAAGGTTGATGTCAAGTTAAGGCTAAGCAGGTTAAGAAGAATCTGTAATACTATGAGATATCAGCAAAGAGTAACTACAAGTTTGAGAAGCCTTGCCGGGTACTTACTTTCTTCATTCAACTATTAGCTAAATTGTGCCATTCTGCAGAAGAAACATATTAGAATCATATTTTGATGAATATGATTTTCCTGTTCCTAACTTGCACTTTGTGGAGTCTCCTGCCCTTGCGATCGACTTGGCTGCACAACAACAGCTGTGTGTTGCTGCAGACATGAGGCTGAGCTTGCTGNTGTACTGGTGTCCACCATTGATGGGCTTCTGAGACTCTCTGTTCCAGAATCTGTGAACTTTGTTCTTGTTCTATTTTCTGAACGATATGAAGTTTTTATTCATATCTTCTGAATTTTGTTTGGATGGACCGATTTGGATAGATGAAGCTACTGTGGTTATGCGTGTGTATTACCGCTCTATCCTGGTTAGAGCTTGTATGCAGAAGCTGCCAAGTTTGATTATGGCATCCGAGAACAAAAGTCTAATGTGCAATAAGAATGATAGGTGAACAGAGACACAATAACAACACAAAAGACTTGACTGCCGCCTTCTCCTAATCCCTACTTGGGCTCTCTCTCATACGAATCCAATCCTTTCAAGATTGTTAATTACCATGCTCCCAGCTCTAAAGTTAAATCTTAAATGAATTATCAAAGAAGATCTTTTATATTAGGATGAGATGTACAAATTTCGTCGGCATTTATATACAAGTGTTTCTTCGAATTCTTACATCAATAGAGGAGTTTCGGCACAATTCAAGCACACCCAACTTTTGATAACTTCTCTAAAAGCCATAAGTAAATGGAACCACGAATACAAACACAAGCACAAGGATTAACGCATAGTCCTTGATACCTTCTGCCCTTGCCAACTGACCAGTAAGGATCTTATGTCGGGAGGCATAGCCCACGAAACGCCACATAGATTCAGAAAAAGCTCCCAGCACTGTTTAGCAATTTTACAATGGATAACTAGATGATTAACACTTTCCAACCCTTCTTCACATAAGTAGTAGCATTTGTTACTTGGGCAGAATCCCCTTTTTTGTAAATTATCTTGAGTTAAATTGCTTCTCTACTTTGGTAGGTGCTTTGGTTCTCCATAACATTTTCCATGGCCAATTAGATTCATACTGATCATTTTGTTCCTGAAGAAGATCATAACAGCTTTTGACAGAATATCACAGATCATTGCTTGCTGTCCAAACTATAAGATCCTCCTTGTCTTCCTCCACCACTGTTGTGCCAAGTAATTGGAGTAATTGCCCTACTTCTTCCATCTCCCAATCATTAAAGCCTCTTCTAGGATTTAATTCCCAATCTCGGTGTCATTGTCATGTCCCCAACTCCCAGGCAGTGAAATTAACTGCATAAAGGAAAACAAAATGGTTTCTATAAGACAGTTCATTGTCTCAGGGTGCTGCAAAGATAACAGGGCTGATGCATACCTAGTTTTAATGGCTTGTTTACAAGCTTGATCAATCCATGGCCGACAAAACAAAAGGCAAAAAGGCCTGTATTGGTTGCAGAGCATAAGTAAGAAGATTGCAAACTTTTTTTGAGAATGAAGTAATGAGATTGCAAACTCCTTACGTCAACTCTTTCTTTTGTGTGGTAAACTAAGGTATTTTATGATAAGAAGTAAAAAGAAGGTACTATAGAAGTACAAAAGAGAGAATCAAGTGCATCATAACAGCATCATACCCTCCAAGAAATTCAAAAGAAAAGATGGACTATCCAGCATATTGCTCCCTAGCATAAAAAGCCTGCTGACATCTATTTTCCACAAAAGAGGTAGGTTGTCTCTTTCCTTCAAAGCATCTATTGTGTTTTTCCAATCATATGGTCCACGTGATGCATAATGGGTTAAACTCGTAAGCTTCTCACGTCCTGAGGCACCACCCAAATGACTCCTTAGCTCAACTCATTATGCTCAACGATTCGCTTTTTAAGATAATAAGTCAAGATCATTTTCCTTTTTCCTATTTTCCTTGTACAATTTGCATCTGACCTCAACGTAGTGGATCAAGGCATTCTCAGGTTTCTCAAAGTGAAAAAGGCAACACCACTATCTAAAACCCCTCATCATGCTTCCACATGCCCAGTTTGGCCTGCTGTAAACACCTTTCAAAAGATAGAAACTCAAAAAATGTCTAACCAGAACTCAACACCTCAAATGGCAATAATGGAATTCTGAACACCCTCAACTTTTTTGTTGTCTCTTCCATTCACATAACAGAGAACATAGAGAAATTGCCAAAAATTATTCCTGAAGTATAGAAATCTGGGTGCAATTCATTAAAACTAAGCAATCTAAAGCATTCATACTTGAGCAGATTCTCATTTTGAAATACATGATTTTGCTAAAGTGCAAATGTACAACTTTAGCTTGGAGAAATATCCAAAGTGCAGATGTCCTAGAGTAATTTGGTAGATGAGAGAATCATCAAACTGGGAGTATGATAAGATCACATAGAAAATAAAGAAAAAGACAAGGATGACTACCAAACAGGTATCTGGAATCATCTCTTGAGGTATCAACTGGCACCTCTGCCAGGTGAAACGCCCCTTCAGCCACGGCCCCACCCTCCCTGACCCAATACAACCAGAAATTTTTTTTGAGATAAAGTAATATTCCTTAACTAACATTATGAAAAGTGCAGCCAGGGTAAGCAAGGTTAGGAGAAGGTCAACCATTATGTTTAGCACTTACCTTGTAGTGTTGTGGATGGGACACAGCATATTACTACATGAGAACATTAGTTCGCCTGTACCACCTTGCAATAACTAAAGCATCAACCAAGTCAGGAAGACAAGTATCTTCTCGCTTGAGACGCCTTTTCTACCAGGAGAATAAGCCCAATAAGAACTAACAGATTAGCCAAAAATGTTATATGAACTAGATGATTATGTCAAACTGATTGTGCATATAACAAATATTCCCCTATGAGCAGTTTAACAACTGACTCCTTAGAAAGATTGCAGTTTGACCTCAATTTAAAGCAACAGTTAGAAGTGCACAGACCAACACATAAAAATATTCCATAGGCAAGTTCAGCAGTCAACTTCTTAGTCTTGATAAATTCTCAACACATAAAAATGAATTGAAATTCTCATAAAAAACCCCATCTATTATCCATAAGGAATGTGCCACACGACCAACCTATTGGAGTTAGTAAGGAAGAGTTATATGTTTCAGCATATTAGCACCATAACTGAGATTCTGTGCCAATTAAGCTGTTGTGTAGGTTAGACATCTCTTTAACACATTGCATGTATATAATGGAACCTGTGCATGTCTACACACTCAGCTCCTTTTGTCAAAACACATAAACTAAACTCCAGCTTAGCAAATATAAAGCATGATTCTAAGAGACCATTTAAACCTGAAAAAAGACAGAAGGAATTCTTTCAAGTACTGCTATTAGCAAGTACAAAAAGAACAAAAATGAGTCTTCAATTCATTATCCTAGTGAATTCTTTGTTTACTCAATGCAGCTAGATCTTGTTTTACAAAAATTATGCAGTCTAACAACAACTATACTCAGAGTGTAGCAGGTTTCAAGACCGGATAAAAGAAGGGTTGCGGTAGATTAACAACACGCGTAAATATAATCAATTTATGATGAATCCACATAGTAATGAGCTCGTTGGGGGTCTGAGTAGAGTGGAACAGATATAATGAATCATATTTGGGGACTGAGATGTAGTTGATTGATTAATAAATATGATTTTATTGCTTTACAAAAAAAAAAATCAATAAATATGATCCTGCAGCCTTGATAGATCTAAACTGGAACCAACTTCCTTAAATGACATCATCGTGCATGGAGTTTAACATGTTACCAATTGATTGACATCGTAAAAGTAGTGAAAAACTTTGTCAAGCTTATTCAACTTGTTTGTTATTTGCTCCAAAACTTAATAAGATGAAGCTAAGAACTCATTCCAGCACATATACTGCATTCTCTCTCTCACTTTTTCTTATTATTTATAAGAGAACAAAAAAAAAAAAGAATTCTCCCTTTTTTCTATAAGGAACATATTATGAGAACCTGCCTGAAAAATTCCAATATGANTCCCTTTTTTCTATAAGGAACATATTATGAGAACCTGCCTGAAACAGATTCCAATATGAAACAATAAATTGCTATAGATTTTCCAAATGCCAAAAAATTATCCATAAACCAACAAACAGCCTAAAATGGACAAATAAAGAATAAGAAGAAGAATACACCATCAGCGTGAAATTAAAATTTGCTACAATTATATATCTGCTCAAGCCCCACTTGTGGGAAACTACTGGGTTTGTTGTTGTTGTTGTAGTAGTATATATCTGCTCAAGGAATAATTCAAAATGCAAAGGAAACAATGGCAATTGACCTACTTATAATAGGGAAACATGGGAAACAGATACAGAAAACACCACATTATAGAATCACCAGCAGATCTTAAATCTAACCACCATCCACGGTAATGAAACCCAAATTATTTGATAGCAAATGTGGGCTTACCTAAAGTTATATAGAATGTACCAAACAAAATTCACTACATGTCTACATCTTTCAACAACAAATCTTCCATGAAGAACTGCAAAGAACATATCATCAACTCCTTTACTTCCATCGGAAAGACGGAATTTATGCAGATTTGAAGCTCAGATACAAACAAAGTTAAACTGCAAACAAAATAGGAAACCTGTGATACGAGAGATTTGCCAAGATTTCTGGGAAAGCAGATGCTTACAGTATCCCCATTTTATGCCCACTTGAATGGCCGCAAATCCCAGCATCATCTTTATACATATGGAAGCAAGGGATGATGCTTCAATTTTCGGCCCTGGAATACGCATGGGACTGATTAATAATATCCTCAAAAAGGAGCTTCATATGCTGCCAAATTTTTTATAGACAGCAAAATTCTGTCCATAAATACATATTAAAACCATTTAGTAACATTGGGAAGTTGTGCAGATTAGAGCTTATATACAAAGATTCATAGGAAAAGTAGATAAGACTTAAAATTTCTAGTCCCAAGTTATAACCACCACTTCATACAGCTAAGCGAAATTCCAAATTACATCTGAAGGCTGTACAAACTAAATATTCAGATAAAAAACTTCCAGGCTTATCCTTCAACTATTTGCATCAGTTAATCTTCAACTACAGCCTACATTAATGGGCATGTGCCCTCCTTCAAATATTTTGGCATCTAGTCTGCAAAAGCTCCTCGTACAATCATTTAAGAGGTACGAAAGAACTTTAACACACACTTCAATGAAGGATACAGTGCACTATCACTCCTATACCCGCGTATATTTTGTGCTACATGATGCTTTGGATCTAAAATAGATATTTCTAATGTGTGCAATGTAGTCCTATACTGCGCATAGGAATCACAAGATAAAAGTGAACTGAAGAAAACCCTGACCGCACAAGGACATGAATCAGTACAGTCATTCACCATGATATGTTGATTCATATTTCCAATATAAAAAAATAGATACAAGATCCCATACTACAAAAGTGAACAGTCAGAAAAACTGTATTAAACTGAACCTCCAAAGTTACAAAACATAACATGACATCTGGCTTTTTACAATTCTGTTAGCAACAGGAACCTAACATAGAGAAGAAAAGAAAGAAAAACATTACAGCTGCTATTTGATATAATATGAACCTTTAGAAGAAATTAGGTTCTTTAGCTCCATCAAATGTTCATCATTTGAAATATGCAGTGTTATACGAAGATCGGTTAATAATGCTTCTTTTTCCCAAGTTAATGGTCCATAAGCATATAATGCCACCAGGGTGCAGCGATAAGCATGCAACTCTAATCTATGAACACTTGTTGCCAATTCCTTTTCTGGAGGATTATTATGACTTTTCTCCTTATATCCTGAAGGACCTGAACCACAAAACGACTCAGCATCACTACAAAGGCAACCTGACACTCGATGTGAAACTCGTAGAAGATGACCTAATAATTCGTTTGGTCTCTCACTAGTGACACTACAACTACCAACAGAGCAGGCATCGCTATCAGAATCACTAGGTTCCAAGCTTCTCCTAGGGGAAAAGCCAATGACACCACCTAAATCTTCTCTCTCCAATTCATTAAATCCATTTGATCTAATGTTAATGGAAGTATGCACGTATTTTTCACCCAGAGTTCCTCTTGGGTAAGCAACAGCATCTACCTTTTCCTGTAAGGTCACCAGAGCTGCTCGTTGCCTGCGATTATCGGTCTCAATTGCTTGATATTTCTGAGCATTCCCATAAAGTGAATCAACACCAGACGAGCAATAAGGAGACATTCTCTTTAGGGATCTTGATGAGATTAAACAAGACTCTTGTCCTCTATTTTTTCCTTCAGTGGCTAAACCATCAGTTTCTCCAAGAACTTTAGTATGTGCATCAAGTTGCAGCGGCTGCGACTTCATCTTCCGATTACAATCTTGAGCTGAAATTTTGTTAGATCTCTGGGTCCCAGCTTGATCAAAACCCTACAAAAGAAAACAATAGTGAGATCAGGGAAGGCAAGGAAGAAATAGATTCTGAATTTTTTATACAAATTATTGAAAGATACACCATATGCATCATATATAAAATTCACCTGCTTATTACCATAAGCACATCAAATACAATACTGTGTAAGGACAACTACACAGACGTACAAAACTGTTCCCTCATTGCATAGACGCTACCGAAACTGCCATCAATTAGAATAATAATTTATAATTTGATTTGATGCGTATAATCTAGAACACTTAACCACTAGGGTCAAACCCACTTCCCATATTATTCAAGCTATACGGACTATACCTTGTCCAGTCCATTTTTGCTACAGAGACTGAACACATAGAGACACATATACGCAAATGAAACAGTTCTCATAAAAAGATCTAGTTAAAAACATATATGGATCTTACGTAGACAGCAATACAAAATAATCCCGTCAAATGAACTTTTTCTAATTAAAAACAAAGGCAGGGAAAAGAGCAGATAAATGATGAGAGCAACTCCAAATTACTACAAATTTTTTATAACAAGCTTAAATTTCTTCGTAAAGCCAAAACATAATAATAAAATGAAAAAGAATATGTACCTTTCTGATAAAAATCCATTTGCCATCTTTCCAATTTTGTCGATCTCTCATGCCTGATATATGAATGCTAAGTTCCAGAGAGCAACTAAGTAGTCTCACCAAATAACGATCACGTGGTAAAATACTGAGCATGATGGCTACTTTCCAAGAGCAGTCATTATATACCTCCACAATGTCCCCAGGTGCCCAAGTCTCCACACACTGCACTACAGGGGGGCAGGGCCTTATCATCTCCCTTGATACCCTTTCTTCGATATTTTCACTTTGCATTGGTGAACCGGAACCATATCTAACACTGCAAGTGTGGCCATTACCAGACACTATCTCGGCAGCACGCCATGAGATTGGCACCTCAGCTCTGTTCATTACTTCCACCTTATCACCCTTTTTGAACCTCATTTGAGCAAAATTTCTTTCCAACAGCCACAACCTGTGATAAGACAAAAAGTTATAACGCTAACAAAAATTCTGTAAATAGATTCTAATACAACATAAGCACTGAAAATTAAGTTCAAATAGACCAGAGGAGAACGTGTTTGAGTTCCAGCCAACACCCCTCAAATATGTTTACTGTTCACACATTATACCAAAAACTCAGCAAACCGATAGGCTAAATATCTCAAAACCTAATCTCAAAAAACTCATATACAACCCTCCTTCATTATACAAAAAGGATGAGTTAAAATAGACAAAAAAGTTGACCATAGACCCCGAACTAAAAAAGAAGCCTTCACAACATCTCCATTACCTGAAAAAACCGTTTAATATGCCAAATCGCCTACAAATTAATTGCAATACTGAACCAAGCTGCACAACTGTTAAACCATTAGCTCAATATCTTTATGGATTTTCGAGATTTTTAGATTTTTATTGCTATTTCTCGAAGAAATTAGGATTGATTATCAATTAAGGAAAATGATCCCAA